AACTAATATATTTCTGTAATAACGTCCTTTGTGTTGTACAATCTTCAACGCATCTATAGTACCTTGATACGTCAAGGGAGTAATCCACGTAAGGTGCTGACCACGAGGTGTGACTTCGACGTTACCTAGTTCGCCACACCATTCCCGTCTAATTCAATTAGGCCTCCAATCATTCGACACAGAACACTTACGCTAGCTGAACACCATCATTTCGGTTCAGGCTGTTCGTGTTCGCCCATATATACAGCGCTTTTGCTGTCAATCTTTCTTTATGAGTGTTAAAACCTTTCTGAAGTATTTTCGTCCCTTCAACATTAATCTTGTGTCCTGTTTCTAACGCACGCAACGCTATCGCAGACGTGTTCTCAAGTTTCGTTAAGTCAACAGAGGATTTGGGAACGTTTCTCAAACACTGTTCGTGTTTTTGATCTTACATACAAATGTCTGGATGTTTCTATCACATGAGCTGTATTACAATCATAACGGTTTGTAACGAAAAGAGAACGATGAAAATCCCTCCGCAGCTTTTTTGTTGGACAGTACTGTCATTTATTTGTTTCTTCTCCGTGTCGTGTATTTTAACCTTTGCTCGGATCTCGTTTAAGCACATCTTTTGTTCTTCAGTCTCCCTCATTTGGGCTTTTATTATGTGATTTTGATTGAAGACTTATCATTTGTTACCTAATTCCCTATTTCATGTTGCCGGACTATTGACAGTAAAGCCGTGTTTGACTAACCTCAAGGTCATGGCGTGTTTCAGTGTGTGGCTGTTAACCTTTTGACTGTCTGCTTGGGAGGATTGCTGGAATTTAAGTGTAGACAAATCTCTATCCAATCCAACGTGTTGGTCTTCCTTACTTGTAACAAGCCTAACACTTCTGTTAATTACATTTTTTACAACAGTGACTTTCGTACATAGCGCCTGAGTCGAACCATAATCTAAGTATCTCTCAGAATATGTTGATTTCTGAATACATTTATTTTCAACTTCTTATGATAGTCTTCGTTCAAACGAACAATCGAGAAACGCTAGTTTGTAGTGAACGGATTCTATTTCCTTCGTTAGCTTAATGCTCTCAGAAATGTTGTTTATATACAGTAACTAGGCCTTTAGTGGACATATACTTCTCGCGATCAATTTAGGTTTATGATTCCGGCTATCACATTAGTCGTCTAAGAAGAATTTTACAGTAGTTAGGACCATAGGCGATAACAAAGTCACCGCATTGAGATATTATCATACTAGCTTAATGTAATAACTTTGACATGGTTGTTGTAACACAAGTGCCCAAAAGAGAAACTCTCCGGTCCACCCTTAAAAGAAGTGCTCAGTTAAGAAGTACTTCTGTAAGATCCTTTTTGGAATGTTTTGTGTGTTTGTTAAAATCCCACCATGTGCATACTTGCCCTTTGTTCCTATTAATCCTTTTAGTTGCACATTGTTAGTTTTTGATTACATTTGAATTGTTAATATTTGTATTTTATTATAGTTTTTATTTTTTCTACACCTTCACTAATTCCCCATGTTTCTTCCCGAACTGCACTTATGTTGTTTTACTTTATACTAAGTCTGTGCGGCAGCCATTGTGGTTTGTTCTTGCTTTTGATTGCTTGACCTGTGTTGACTGGAATTGTGCATTTTGGTTGTGAATTGAGGCACTCTTCGGGAATTGAAAACACTGTGTTATAGAGCGACCAATTATTACTTTGTAGTGACTCATGTTTATCACGAGAAACAATTATTATTATAACCAACTGTACCAGTGTTTGTTTTAACGTGCTTTTGTTTGACTGTGCTAATGACAGCTATTTTGGGCTTCCATTCACTTACTTACACTTTGATTGTAACTTCGCGCGGATTCGGTTACGTTCTGTAACCAAGCTTGTATCCTGGCACGATCTCGGTATCCTTTCGATGCCACGAGATCGCCAGCAAATAAATATCGACTTGGTCCATTAATTGCCTTCTGATATTCGGCTTCTCGGGGATTTTATGGAGTCATTTGGAACGAGCTTCTTACGCCTTCTGATTCGCTTGGCACGTGTTTCTTTGTAGCGGTGTTCACAGTTAACCTCAACACGACGCCACGCTACAATCTTTTGAACTCATTTGTACGTGGTCTATCCAGACAGGATAGAATAACATTTATTTGTTGTGATTGGTAATTTTCTTGCATCCTTTATCAACTTTCTTATTTATTGTAATTTAGATTTGATCAATTGAGCAATTATTTGTTGGATATCTGAGTGGTTATATTTTTTTAGGCAATAATGTACACTTAAATTTATGATAAATTATTGAACCGTCATCTTACCTAATTACTTTGTTTTGGTTTCAAACGGGCGAGGTCGCGTAACTTACTCATCCAGACAGCTGTCCATCAATCCACACCGTAGTTTGGATCTTACAACTTCTGCATCATGATTTGTAATATAATCAACCGAATGGGATTCCTTAATGTTACACATATCATTTTAGATATCTGAGACTTCTGAATCATTCGACGTGATCATGTTTGAGACAATAAAATATATTAAGCATTATATTAAGCGAACAAAAGCTACTTCTCACTATGTAATGTTCAATCAAGACTATAAATTGTTACTCATAATATTTGCAGGTCAAGCGACACATATTTCTGCAAACAATCAATGTAAGTAGATGAGCAGACCTCCTGCAAGTTGAAAACGACATTGACGAATTTACTACAACACTCACCGATCACCAACTTGTAAAGCTTTATTTAGCCAAAAACATACAAAATCATGCCACACATATTTGTGAATTATGAGGTTTACCAAATTCAACAACCTATAATCACTCAATTTCAAATAAGTCGAGTTCTTACTTACGCCTGTTACTCCCAATGGAGCATAGGCCACCGACTAGCATTCTCCAACTCACTCTCTCCTGGGCCTTCTTTTCTAATACCATCCAATTCTTGTTCATTTTTCTCATGTCTATCTCCATTTCTCGGCGTAATGTGTTCTTTGGTCTTCTTCCCCTCCTTTGGTCTTCAGGATTTCAAGTGAGGGCTTGACTTTGACGAAGTTGGGTGCTTTCCTCAATGCGTGTGCTATGCACTTCAAGCGATTCTTTCTGATCTCTTCCTCCACTGGTTTGTTTTTTCCCACAGTTGGTTGTTGCTAATAGTGTCTGGCCAACGGATCTGAAGTATTTTGCGTAGACAACTGTTAATAAACACATGTATCTTCTGGATGATCGTTGTAGTAGTGCTCCAAGTTTCCGCCCCATACAGTAGAACTGTCTTGACATTTGTATTGGAAATCCTGACCTTGGTGTTGGTTGCCAATTGTTTTGAGTTTCAGATGTTCTTCAGTTGTAGATATGCAGCATCATTGCTTCCACATCTGCATCAGATCCACCCTGTTCATCGATGATGCTGTCCAAATATGTAAAGGTTTTTACATCTTCCAAATCTTCTCCGTCAATTGTGTTTGGATTGATGCATGCTATGTTGTATGGGAGAATCTTGCTTTTCTGTTTGTTTATACTGAGGCCTACTGATGTTGCGGCTTCTAAGACACTAGTCGTCTTCTCCTTCATTTGTTGTTGCGTGTGCGATAAAGGGTCACATCATCTGCAAAGTCAAGATCGTACAGTCGAGTTCTACCCTACGTCTAACATGGAACTGGCACCTAACTCGTATCAACCAACAACTGTTGTTTATGAATATAATTATTTGGTCTATCGCACGTCAGAACATTGAGTGTGGGGCACATCACTCACAGATGCACTCATATGCGACAAATTCACGTCAGTAAGCTACTGAATCAAATCCAAGACGGAAAAATATTGATTTCATCTGTATTGCATCTGAACAAACACGAAGTGTCCATGGTGTCAATTAGTCAGCGTGCACAAAGTATTTATCTATAGTGGTAAATAAGCCTCCAAATCAATAGCTCTGCAAGTCTCTGACATTTGATGTTCACCGCATTAATTTTACCAGACTCTCATAGCTGCAGTCGCTTGGTTACCCATCCGTACATTCGCCTCCTACAACCGTCAGCCAGCTTAGATCAAACGCTTCTCGATATGTCGATAACCTATCAAATATATCTTCCATGCATTGGCTTAATTTAACTATAAAAGCGTTACTTATAAAGGCGTTGTCGAACTCCGAATACTTGTGGCATCTTCGGGATGCTATCGGAATTTGGGCCGGTTAGAAATTGGCGTACATAGGGGCACCATCTTAGAAATACTAATTCCTCTTCCTCACGTCAACAAATTATCTAGACTGCCTGCGCTGTTGACAATACTGTTCACAGATAATGTCAAAATCTGGAGAACAATAAGTAGTTAAACCGATCATCCTAATCTCCTGGACGAATTTGTGAGATGATCCCAAAATTGGAGCTAAGAAGTCGAATTCGGAAGGTGCGTTAACGCGCACCAGACACGGTAATGGATACCAACACACCATCAACTGTGCATCGCTTCCACGTGTGCAGGGACAGAAAGACTTAGGAGTAAGAATAAGTCATGATTTAAAAGCAACTTCATATTACAATGTAGCAAACGCCAAAGGTTTCCGAGCGTTCTGGTCGGCTTATCGAACATTCAAACGACTTGACTAGGATATGTTTCGGATTGCATATACTGTCTATGTTATGTCACACCTAGCGTACTGCATCCAAGGAGCTTGTCTCAGAGTCCGGAAACTGTGAAGAGTCTCTCCAAACTCCTTACTATGGACGCCCAAACACTTAAACCTTCCCTTCTTATTTTGTTGTAGGGTCCAAAGTGACCTCATATTTACGTTTCGTATCTCTGTTAACGATTTGGATGCTGAGATGTCTTATGTTTTCGCTCCCTGCAGAACTAATCTTTGGGGCCATAGCAGGAAAGTTTAAGGACCGTAATCTAATACACTCAGAGTGAGATTCCGCTTTTATCACCGAGTGTTCAGTGACTCAGACGACTTACCTGAACAGCAGTATCAGATCCTTCAATGAACATTCAAAAGACAAATTGCCGCTATTTCATAAGAGGGTTATACAAAGTACTTTGTTACATGCCTAGGCATTGCTTTATTAAAACCGTCTAAATGGCAGACAACCAGGATGATATATTCGTCATAGATAAATGCGGTTCATCATTGTAATTCTCTTAATAATGCTGGTAAATATTGTCTAGGGATGACAAACAACCCGATATTACCTATGATTTTACGGAGTTAGAAGAGGAGTCTCTTACTACCAGCGCCCAGAACCATAGGAGCCGAAAGCCTGTTTATGGAAAGCGTTATCACGAAGCGGACTTTGACAATAAGTTTAGACCTGGAAGGATATCGTTAGTTTTCCTGTCCATTACCCTATGGCTCATTTGAATTTCAGACGAGAACTACGAAAGGCACTAAATCTGAGTAGTCATGATATTCCAATCCACATTTATCGTATGAGAACATTGGGGTATCCTCCTGGCTGGCTGAAAAAAGCTGCTGTTGGTGGCTGTTTGCTGATGTTTGATTCAGACAACTCGGACAGCTTAGCATCTGAACGTGAGTTACCCTTTTAAATAGTTTTGTGCTCATAGCAAGCAGAAAAATTGATGAGCGTTAAGTGATTTTGATTACACGTTCGCGATCATGATCGCTTTACGCTCATGATTACGTGTCGTCAGGGTGCCTACCTTGTTGGTCCCAGTCTAAATATCTGTGGTTTGTTATGTTCTCATGACTACGTTTCTACATATCCATTATTTGGGTGCATTCGAATTCCTAGCACAGCTCAAAGCAACGTTTGGCCACAGAGCTTTGTGCTAGAACAAAAATAAGTAGTGATGTTATAGATCCAATGTGTGTCCTTTTATAAACTCATCATTTTACTAAATAACGCATTAATCATTAAGATATAAGTAGTCATTACTGTTTTGTAGTAATAACAGTGCTTTGGGTGTGTGATCTGATGGTTTGTTTTTCACACAAATAGTTATTCGACTTAAAAACTTTCCCAGTATATATAAGATGGGACAATATTTTATCCATGTAGTCTTGATAATCCTTCAGAATATTACGAGGGATCAGTTACTCTGTCTTAATTCTTTAGAACATCAAGTAAGAGTGATGTATTTTTCTCTTAACAGTGAACGTTTCATTTACTTATTCGTTTATTGATCACTGCAGTTAACTTTAAATTATTCAAAATCCGTTTGACACTGGGCTAACTTTTCTGTTTGATGAGTTAGGTTAGGATCCTGGAGCCCATATATACCATTGGTGTAGAATCAGGGTTTTCCCAACTCCCCTAGGTGGTTCCTCCGTATCCACCAATCGGGTTAAAGCGCCAAACACTTTTCGTTTTCTCAGTTTCATAAGTAACACCCTTGCCGCGAGAAGGTAGTGATTAGGAATTCCCTGGCAGTGGTTGTATGCACGTAGCCATTTGAAAGCATTTCAAGAGAGAAAGAGGGAGCTGACTGTCCTCATTCTCGGCCGTATCAGGGCATTTGGAGGCTGATAGAATCCTTAATCTCACAATTGTTATTTCTCGACGTTTATTTTACAAACACACATGTAGAGATTTGAGTTGAAAATCCTTACGCCATATGTTAGGTGTTCATTAGAAAGTACAATCTGGCCCTCCCATACTCTGGTGTGTATTTCGGTCTATTGCTGGGTAGTACTTCATTTGAACACTTTCCACTTTATACACTCGTCTTTCGACCCCGTTCTTAGACTGTATACCTGAAATTTTTATCTTAATGGATGCAGATTTCACAGTAATTTGCGCCTTGGTTAATTTTACTACAGTGCCTTCATTAAACTTTTACTGTGTAATTTCAGTGTACTGTCTTCAATGTTCTGTGTTTTTTGTGCAGGTAAAGTGTCGTACAACAGAAACGCTCTTATTGGTTATCCTGGATTCAATGTCGAGTTGGATCGTTCTGTTAGGGATGATTATTTATATTTAAAATGTCCGCCGATGCAAAAACATCATATGCTGGATAATTTCTATGCTTCCTTGTCTTGTGAATCGTCTAAGAAATTCAGTATTACAAGTACAAATGGTAACCACTCACGTAAGTCTTATAAGGCTGGTCAGTATATACATCAGTTGTGTAGTTTCTCAGTGGATTCTAGCTTACTGATCCTAGAAAATTAATTGTTATTCACTAGCCATCGCAAAATATAAAAAGCAAAAAACATTTCATACAGTTTACACCAACCTGCTAGCCAGGTTTTCGTATCATTTACTGTGTTCCTGACATAAAATTTGTTGAAATAAGATGACTTTACTCTATTTGTCCTAGTTACTCCCATATTTTACTTCCAAGATATAATTACTAATTTCCTGTTCATTATTTTCAGAGCTTTTTTGTAACACAGTGTTATAAGTATGAAGTGTTGCTTCTATCTCGTTCTGTGATTACGTTTATGTATCATGAATGTATTTGTTGGAACATATAACTTCCTTTTTCGTCCTCCGATTTCAGTAATGTTCATTTCATGATAGCTTATGTATGTTGTAAACATTCCCAGTTTTTATCGTCCTGTGTGTTCCAATATTAGAAATTTATCACAATAGGGAGTTAATTGTACAGGTAAATGATTTCACAGTGCTTATGGGACTCTATACACACTAACCCACATCAAGCTTTAGGTGGTATTCGCCGATGGTTTATATTAGTTGTTTTTGTTTCTTCACCAATATATTATTCTCCAGCTCGTAAAATGTAAATATCTTGGTCTGTTTATTTCTGATATGTGGCTACTAAAATTAAAATGCGATTAGTTACTGAGCATGGACAGATAGACACTCAACTTACTATTCAATATATGATTCCCTTCCTACTAGTGAATATGGTCTGTTTTTGATTGTGTTAAGCAGGGCATTATCGAGTTTATCCTCTAGTTCTTCATATTTAGTCATGAATCGTGTATCTGGTATAACATTACCTCAGTCTGTGTTTAACATATTAATCTAGGATCTAGTCTAGTGGTAGTGTAATGTCGGTCACCGGTCGTTATAATAGTGGTATGTCTGAGCAAAAAGTAATGTTCTGCTGTTAAATTGATTTCTTTTGGAGTTGTTGGTTAGTTGTTTCCTCAGAAATGTTCTTCGAGTCAGCTGCTTTCAATCTAGCACATCTCTTAGTCTCCATGTGTCGATAAAGACTTTATTTGATTAAGATATTGTGTTTATAAATCTGTAACCATATTCTCAGTTGATGCCTACCTACACAATTTTCACTTTTCTTAATTGTTTTATAAATATACTTGCTGTATGTTTTCCTGATTTAATAGCCTGTGGCAAAAAGAAAACAGTTGATACTGTTATAACACTTTTCGATTCGGAGTCTGGTGAAACTAATTCGAACAGCTCACAAACAGAAGAGACTCCAGATGAAGTTGAAGAACTTCATTCAAATCCAGATGTTTTGATCGTTCATGAGCCTGAACAAGGAACACCCACACCACTCTGTCCCCTCACTACTAAAAATGATTCTGCTAATGAAATTACTGACCAGTCTTCATTTTTATCACCACAACCACCTAAACGTCCTACTTTGGAAGCTTTCAGTATGGGTATACAACCTTATAGGCCATTTGAAAATCTTCCTGGTGTACATGGTGGTTATCAACGTGTACTCAACTCACTCAAGAATTCACGTGAGTCTTTAGCATCTCATAATAATGTATCAGATTCAAAAAATATACAAGATAATGATTATCAGTCGTCATCAGCTCGACTGAGTCGTCACAATGGCAATCACTCCTCTTTTAAAAGTAATCGATATTAAAAAGAATATATACCGTTCACTTTTGAGTTGCATTTTATATTCTTCAGTGTTTAAAAATTGAAAGATGTATATATGTGTAAATTATTCAACTCACAGCACTCACTCTATATATACATGTCCATTGATATCTCTGACTTTGATTTTATTCATTTTTCTGTAAATTAATAAATTCACCTAATTGTTAATATCTATTTGAAAGTGTCATGCATGTCCATTGTTATTAAACATTTGAGTATCATCTTCCAGTCTTCTATCTTATATATTTGTCATTAAAATTTGAATACGACTGGTATGTTATTATTGATGCATATACTTTTTACAGAGAAAAAAATCGGAAACTCATTCATAAAAGATTTGACCGCTGGATACATTTACACATCTGTTTAAAAAAATGAAAAACTTTTATTCTCAACTACGTTGTATTTGTTCACCAGAGATCTCAATACTTGTACTTTTGCCACAGGATATCAATTTGTTGTTCAGGTTGTGAAGAAGCCGATATATTGATAGACTACCCTCTTAAATGGTATATGTGATTGTGTTAAGTAATGAATTGTTACTCAACGTACTTTTCAAACATTAAGTGCAAACTTTTCTCCATATGTTTCGGTTTGGCTAGTTTCATCAGATGCCGCACAAATTTGTAGCTTAAAGTCGACTACACTAACCTGTTACTGGCTAAAATAACTTTAAAATGTGAACAAGCCCTTGAGATTTCAGTTTTTCTACAAGTTCGGTGGTTATTTGTCATTAGACAAATCTTAGCGTGCTTCCTATTTAGATTCGAAAAATTTATTTTGTAGAGTATCTTGACATGCGTAAGTTCAGCATTACCATATTAAGTCGTCTTAAATTCTTGAATCTCACGTAATTCAACGAAGATGAGTAAACTATGAAAATTTGAGAAAGTATTTAGTTAGCTTGTGGATTGAGTGTGCACTGATGACTTAATGCATGCTTGTTTTCAATTGATCTAGCGTATATCAGTCCATAATAAAAACTGCTTTTAAAAGTATATAACTAAGAAATAATATGGTTTTGAACATTTAAGGCAAAATGAGTTAATGAATTGCTGTCAAATTTGTCTGTTTTTCATTTCTTTTAGATTCTCCAAACCTTTTGTTACTTTTAACTAAATCTTACCAAATACATTCTGTAGATATTACGATATTATTCAAATTATATGGTTTAAGGACACTCGAATTTCATAAAATCTATATACACTGCACCCCTTGAAAAGAGAATTAATTAAATGCTTTTGAGCAGCTTATTTATTCGTGTGGTTGATAGTAAACTATATTTTACTGAGTTTGTTCGTTTTTATTAACCTCATCATTGTGGAGATATCTCTTATGATGTTGCTAATGTACTTGGGGTTGTGGTCGTCTTTTCTTCAGCCCATGATTCAAGCAGTTGGCTTATAACCAACACGTCGTTAGTTCGCTCTCTGCTTTAATTACTTATGTTCAAGACATTACATGTGATCTGTCTCATACTGACGAAAGCCTACACACGGTTGATGGACTGTGCTTTATACGTTTAAACATACTTTAACTCATAGACAATTAGATTTGTAACCGCTCACGATTATTTAAATGTTCGTGTATTATTTGATTTCATAGTTCATTGAAATGTCTGCATAGTAGCGCAGTAACCCACTTACGTATCACATTCTACGTAGAAAGTTTTAGAGTACTTCTGTAGTATAGGGTGAATTCTGGGTAACTTGTCAATATATCTTTTAGTTTGCTCAAATATTTCAACGAAACATTTTAATACCACAACTTCTGTGAAGGTAAAAAGTTGCTTTTTAAAAGTAGTGAAAGTCGATTTTGAGATAGACATCATACACTAAAATGTTTTGTGCGTAAGTACTTATGTTATTTGGACGTTCTTTAGAAAATCATTAGGAAATATTTTATCTTTTTTTGCTGTGCAACCTTATTATGTTAATATACACTTAGTAATACCGTACTTCTGCTGTTTTTCAAAAACTTTAATTATTGTTTGCATTTTATGTTACCGAGATTGCTTATATGACAGTATATGGTTATTACAGTAATTCATATTGGCTAAAATACTGTCAGTCAGTCAGTCAGTCAGCTACAACAGTTGAAGACCTTACATGGTGTGCTTCATACTCGGTCTCAGTGGTATGGGCGGATTTGTGCCTTATCTCCCTCTAAGGCTTAAGCTTTATTATTATCTCATCCTCTTTGACTTGGAAAATGTTTGAGCTGTAGCCGGGTTTTAATAATCAGTTAACTCTGTTTCAACCTGTAACCTCAACAAAATATTTGCATTCTTTTTTAATAGTCACTTGGTTTAGCTGTTTTTATTCATTTATAGGACTTTGTTACTTCGAATAAATCAACTTCAGTTTGTTTGTTCATACATATTTGCTGAGCTCACGTTACCGCCCTCAGCATTGTTTCTAATCATTCTTCAAGATAATCCACATAAGTTCTGACATTCAGATTGTATAACCATTAACTTTGCGGATCATTTTCTAAATATACAGAGCAACTTATGCTGAGTTTTTCCATAAAAGGGATATTCATTGAGTGACTTTTTCCCTAAGATGCTCACCATACATTGCAGTATTGAAGAAAATTCGTATTTATCCTTTAATAATAGGCTCTTAAAACAATAAGGAGCTTAAAAACTTCCATTATAGAAATATGGTACGAGATTAGTGGTAATATAAAGGCAGTTCATGTGACTATCTTGGGTTTTACTATTCGCATTAGTAGATGCTTTTCGGCGGATGTATGGAGGATTAGGTTTTTCAAAACTTCATAATTAATGATCAGGTGTTTAGGAATCTGCAAATTTATTTATGTAATATAGGGTCTCTGTAACACTTCCATGCCATTTTAGCGGCTTTTATGCTTCGCGTTTACGATTAAAATAAAATAGAATTAGTTTTAAGATGGAGAAATCAGTAAATGATCCCGGGTTATGGAGTCGTTATTCATCAGGGTAATTTGTATTGTCGTTGGCTTTACGAGTTGCGTCAGTGGACTATTAAAAATCTGTAAATGAAAATTTCAGTAATACAACTGTAAAGAGAAAGAAGTTAGGATATATGTATTTACTTTTCTCTGGTTTTCCCATCTTTTACCAATAAATAATCACACATGGAATCATAGAGAAAAGTTGAATTTATTGAACTCATGATTCATAGTTGATACCTTACGCGTACTTTCTATGCTACACGTTAGAAATCGAACAAAAACTACTTACTAAAATATCAGTTTCCCCGATTTTTCGGTTTGATTGTTGTCTGTTTCTAAAATGAACTCAGGATTTTAATGGTTTTAAAACGTGTAGTCTCTATGTCTGGAAAATAGTTGGAGCAGTCTGTTTATTTGGCTGGTTGATTTTTTAGCTGTGTAATCAGTTTAGTCAGACTATTTCTCATATATCGTATCATGGAACTCGAATACTAAATCAGACGTAAATCTCTGTTATCTGTAAGCTAAATATTTTGACCGTTGACAAATGTCTCTGTGATAGTAACATAAAAGTTAGTAATGATGATCCGCCTAATAAACAATTTGTGAAGGTTTATAGGGTTTGAAAATAGTTTGCATCGCAGACTAATATTATTTGGGAAACCAATTGAACAATGAAGGTAATGTAGATGCGTATCGATGATGGATAACGGTCACACCTTACCACGAACTGTATGAAGTTAGGAAGTGTGAACTACATAATTCCTAACAGTATCAGGCTAACTGCACAGCCTGAAGGTTTTTATGCTCTTTTGCTGAGTCGCGTGTGTGCACTGATATAGTATCCTATAAACTAAGCTGAAAAAAGTCTTCATTGTTCCCTAATTTTAAATGTTTATTAGTAGTCTTCATTTACACTTACCAATTTAATTGTGAATAGTGTGTAGAGGGATTTCTGTCGAAGCTATCCACTCCGTGTAATTTATTTCAATTATCTCTGTTTCGATATAGTCAACATAAAAATAGGTAAATTAAAATGAGATATACACAGTTTTTCCCGTATATATCGAGCATCGTAAACGCAGTCTAGTATTCACTAAATAAAGGTTGATTCCCTAATGTAGTTCCTGTATAATTTTGTTTTCTATTCTAAGAAGTAACTGCATCATGATTTCTTCAAAAAGCAAGCATTCCAAACGAAGATCAAATTGCATCCAATTAACTGAAAAAGAAATTAACGATTTCATCGCACACAGTGATGATGAAGAGACTGATGGTAGTGAAAGTGATTGGGATGATATGGGTGAAACTGATTTGTCGACTATACTTTCAAGTTCAGCAACTATTATGAAGGGTAATACTGTTAGCCAGTTATCCAGTGAGATAGCTTCATCATCTAGTCACAAAATAACTTGTAGTGCTATCAATGGTAAGTTTATTTTATTTGTTTAAACTAATATTTGTATAATACATGCATACGGAAGTGCTACATAGTTAGATAATAATATATTATGGAAATAAAGCTATTTTATTATATCAAATTAATTGTATTGGTCTGCCGAATTTTCATGCTCCAGTCGTATACAATAAAGACTAATATTGGATGGTGATGGAACTACTTATCTGTTGGTTAAACGTTACACTTCCAAGCAGTATATTATGCGTCCAAGTCTTGCTTTACTTACTAAAATTCAATTAATAGATTTATTTTACAGCATAATGTATTCAATGAGTTGGATTATCATGATTACTATTGTTATTACTACCTTAAATCCATGATTTGTTGTAAACTGTCGTATATTGTACTGATTAACTTGTCGTGAAAACATTCTTTTACTTGATACAAGTTGCATTTTGTCCTTTAAGAAAAAACGCCTATAAAGGTAAAGTAGATCCATTTTTAAATTATCAGTCATCCATTAAAGAATTGTGTCATACTATAGTCTATCAAGTGAAGATGCTATAGAGTTAGTTTCGTGATCACGGTTTACTTAGTTTAACATTGAATCATAAGTCAGTGTATGTATACTTCAGTACAATTAAGAGCATATCATCAATGCAGCAGAGAGATAGAACTGTTATCTGATTTTATGGTTTATCAGTTTCTTGTATTTAACGTGGTTATTTGGAAAAAAAAACAGTTTAGTGAAGTAGATTTTTCTTAATTGTTACTCGACTCTAATTAGATACCATTTATAACCCTTATGTATTTGGAATTGTTGATTCAAGCTAAGTTATGTGGTACTTTCGCACTGTTCTCTGGAAAAGCACTTAACAAATTTAGATTTTCAAATATCAATTTCAGTATTAGTCTCTTACTGATGTCGTTTGCTTTATATGCTTTTACAAATTTCTTCACTTAAATTAGATATTGGTGTCAACGAGTTGTTTGGCTCGGTACCTTCCAATGTGTTATTGAATGAAAAAGAAATCAATACAAATATGCATGAACTG